GGGACGGGGCTCGGAGGAAGGCTTCCGGGCCGGCTCTCCCGTCAGGCCCTGGTCCTGCCGCCTGGTTGTCAACAGACCTCAGCGCCTTCCCGCGCAGGCTGGTTAAACTCTCCACTCGCTCTTGCCTGCTTTAGCATGTAGTTAGCAGCTCCTGGGTGGTGCTCACCGCGTGCCAGAGACCTTCCTGAGTGCCGTGCGGTGTCCACTCCCGTGAAGCGAGTGTTTGCCGACGAGGGTCCTGGCCGTGTACGGGGACTGCAGATCCCAGCGTGTGGACGTGGATCAGGCCTTGCCGGGCCGGTCCCAATCCGTTGTTTTTCCCCCTCTCCGCCTCTGTGCACCTGGAATCCCAGTCTCATCACTCCTACCCCCGGTGTCCTCCATGCCTTTCCTCACGTCCCTGCACTCCCCACCCCTCTTCTGTGTCTGTCACTGTCAGCGGTGACAGTGGCTTAGGTGAGGCAGTGTCGGGCTCCCAGCTTGTCCTGCGTCCTTCCCATGCAGCTCCCACCTGAGCACAGACGGGCCCCAGCAGTCACGTCTGTGTTCGGCGCACAGGGGCTTGTCCTCTTCCTCTAAGGGCCCTTCTCCAAGTCCCACTCCCACCCACTGGCCAGAGCTCGTCACCCGCCACACGTGGCTATGAGGAAGGCTGGGAAACGTGGACTTCACATCCGTGTCCATGTGCCCACGCGGGGCAGGGTCTGCCGGGGTGGAGTCTGGGCCGAGCCCCCATAGCTCCCCAGAGCACGGCCTGTCTCAGACACCAGCAAAGGGCCCACACAGCCCCCGGGGGCCCGAGCCAGCCCAGAGGGCCGGTGCCCAGCAGGTCGGGAGGTGTTCAGAGTGTGGACCTGGAGCCCGCAGGGACCTGCCCTTGTCTGTCTCCAGGAGGACATAGCAAAGCTGCTGCGCTACGAGTCCTCGGCGCTGCCTGCGGGGCAGCTGACCAGCCTCGCAGACTACGCCAGCCGCATGCGGGCTGGCACCCGCAACATCTACTACCTGTGTGCCCCCAGCCGGCACCTGGCCGAGCACTCGCCCTACTTCGAGGCCATGAAGCAGAAGGACACGGAGGTGGGTGAGCGACAGAAGGTGGGGCCGGCTCCCCGAGGCTGCGCAGCTGCTGCCCGGCCAAGGCTCCCTGCGTTTGGCTTTCCCGTGGAGCTGGGTCTGAGCTCCCTGGGGAGGGTCTTGAACTTCTCGGCTCTGTGTTTGGTGGAAAATGGCTGCACGTGCCCAAGACCTGGGAGGACTGAGAGGTGGGTCGGGGTCCAGGGGAACAGGGGCCCGGGCCATCTGCAATCTGGTTGCGTTTCTCACCAAGTCACGCATGAATTTGTCTGCGAGTGGGGCATTCACACTGCCACGGCAGCTGGAGCCTCCCTCAGAGCCATCTGCTGAGGCCCAGAGCCCCGGCGTCCCCGTGGGTTCCTCTCTTCCTCTCCTCGAGGGCAGAGACCCCTGCAGGCCTGACAGGCGTGTTCTTCGACGTGCGCAGGTTCTCTTTTGCTACGAGCAGTTTGATGAGCTGACCTTGCTGCACCTTCGTGAGTTTGACAAGAAGAAACTGATCTCCGTGGAGACAGACATTGTCGTCGATCACTACAAGGAGGAGAAGCTTGAGGACGGGTCCCCAGGTTGGCTGCCTGCCGCTCTCCGGGCACAGGGCCAGCGAGGGTGGGGCTGGGGCCTGGTGGTCACGTCCTCAGGGCGTCTGCTCTCCTGCAGCGGTGGGTCTGCACAGGGTTTTTTCTCAGCTGATCTGGGGTCACCAACCTATGAAAGAAGCTGTTGGGAACATCTTAGTGATTAATGGACAGTGTCCCCTGTGTAGATCCAGGGTCTCCAACGCCCCTTCCACCGTGGCGTCTTACAGTTGACTTAAGCTTCCTGAGGGAATCAGAATTGTGTTTTCAAAGCCCTGACAAAATTATATGAGCCATAGGCAGCCAGACTTGTGCTCCCCGAGGTTTTAGGAAGGAGCTTCTGTCTCCGTCGTGGCAGGTGGGGAGGAGCGGGGGGCTGTGGAGCTAGCCGAGCTCACTCCTGCTGCCCTCCTGTAGCCGGCGAGTGCCTGTCCGAGAAGGAGACGGAGGAGCTGATGGCCTGGATGAGAAACGTGCTGGGGTCGCGCATCACCAACGTGAAGGTGAGGCCTTCTGGGGACAAGCCGCCATCTGGCCGCCATGGCCCTCGGTGCCCCATAGCAGCTGGCCGGGCTGCCGCCTTCCCCTTCCTGGCCTGGTGGGTCCGCCCCACGGTGGTAAAAGCCTGTGATGTAAGGTGGAGCCCCCGAGGGTCCCTGCTCCCACACACACGTCGCCGTGTACTCCAGGAGTGCTGCTGAGGCCAGAGGCAGGGTCTGCCTCCCTGTGTCCCCTGATGTGGAGCGGGTGGGAACCGGGAGGCTGGAAGGAGCAGCCGCAGGCCGGGTGGGTGTGAGCGGAGGAGCCCAGCAGGCCACCCCGGGCCATCCTGGTCCAGGCCCTGCAGGAGCTGTGGCAGCTGATGACATGGTTCCAAAAAAAGGGATGTTCCACCCCAGCCCTCAGGAGCTCATGTTCCCACTTGGGTTCTTGGTTGGGGGGGTTCTGGATGAGCTAAGACCCCGCTGGTCGGCTCAGCTAGAAGAGAACAGGCATCCTGTGCAGGACCACCAGCTCAGGGACCGTGCAGGAGTGGCCCCCAGGGGAGAGGCAGGTGCAGGGTGGGCTGGCAGGAGCAGAGGAGGATGGATGCGGGCAGGTCCCAGAAGTGGCATGGGACTTGGGAGACAAGGGGCGGCACTGGGTGAGAGCAGGAATCCCGGGCAGGGAGCAGCCAGAGCCAGGATGTGCAGATGGGAATTGGTGCCATAGCGCACTTCCGTAGCACTGCCGTGGTCCTGCCTCACTAGTGCTCGCTCATTGAGCTTCAGGTCACCTGTTGTCCCCAGTCCACAGAGAGCGTCCCAAGATCACACAGCTAGATGTCAGGGAGGCTGGATTCGAGTGAGAGTCCAGATTCTCCTCCCCGCCCCCCACGCCCCCTGGGGTCAGAGCAGCCGTGGGCTCCTGCATTCAGGAGGCCCAGACCCGTGGGGGTGAGGGGCCTGCTCGCAGGCGCTGGCTGGGGACGCCTTGTGGGCAGAGGAGGGTCTGCTAGTCACACAGGGCCCAGGAGACCTAGGGGGAGGGCACAAGAGTGAGGCCTGCAGGGAGGAGCTCGAGCCACCCCCAGAGACCAGATGAGGCAAATAAGAGACCTCAGAGAAGGACCTGCCCCGAGGTGGGCCTGCGGCCAGTGCCGGGGCTGCTCAGAGGTCACGTAGACTTGGCAGGCAGCCTGTGGAGGACGGAGGTGAACGTGCCGGGCAGGGTAGACCTTCAGTGTGAGACCTCAGCCCCTGGTGGCTCTGGGAGGAGGAAGGAGCCGCCCACAGGCTCTGCGCCTTCATGTGGGGGCAGCAGCTCAGGATCCCGCCCGTCGGTGGGCCTTTGGGAGGGAGGGAGGGAGCACTGCGGGCCGGGACCAGGGCCTGCCTCTGAGGCCCGCCTCCTCCTGCCCTCCTTCCCCTGGGCCAAGACTGCCAGCCCTCAGCCCCTTTGCCTCAGGGACACCCCATCCCCAGCTCCCCCTCACCCACAGAGCCCCTGACTACTGGGGTACAGTCACCTCCAGCCCCTGGGCTTTGCTCGCAGGTGACTCTGCGGCTGGATACTCACCCCGCCATGGTCACTGTGCTGGAGATGGGGGCCGCCCGGCACTTCCTGCGCATGCAGCAGCTGGCCAGGACCCAGGAGGAGCGAGCTCAGCTCCTGCAGCCCACGCTGGAGATCAACCCCAGGTGAGGCCGGGGCTCTCGCTGCTTCTGGTCCCTTCCGACCTGCCAGGGGAGTGTTCAGAATTGGACGAGAGTGTGGGTGCCTTTACCTCAAACATGACGCGTAAGAAATGTGCGTGAAGCTCATATGCAGTTGGGTGGCCGTTTATAAAGAGAATACCTGTGTAATTAAACTGTGTTAGGTTCAACTTTATACCCATGTGAAGTTTAAAAACACGGAAACTTGCTGGCCCCGCAGACGTCTCCACGGGTCTCCCTGCTGGAGTTCTGCCCCGTAGCCCTGAGCAGCTCGCAGAGTGGACTGGCCACCCCCAGGTCCCTGGCAGCGACAGCCCCTTTCACGGTTTTCTGGCCTTGGCCCTCTTACGACACATCATTTAAGACCCCCCTTTCTTCCTGCTGGGTTTTGTTTATTGATTTGTAATTGGTTGTAGATCCTTCGTCAGCTGCAAATGTCTTTCCCTACTGTCTTTTCACCTGCCTTAAGGTACCTTTTGATGAGTAGATGTTCTCAGTTTTAATGTAACCAAATTTATAAATCTTCATTAATGTTTTTTTGTCTTTTTAAAGAAATCTTTATCACTTAGAGTCATCAATTCTCCAACATTTCTTTCTAGAAGCTATTTATCGGTTTTGGCCTTTCGTCATGGTTTTTAACTCATCTCTACTTAGTTTGGTACATGGGAGAGACGCGATTTCCTCTCACTCCACAGGACACCAATTGTCCCTGCCCTGCGCACTGCACAAGTCTGTCCCCTGCCCCTCTGGCCCACGCTGCCTTCTCTGTCACTGGGTATTGGGTGTCCACACGCCTGTGCGTCTGTCCCTCCTTCTCTGTGCCGGTGCTGCCAGCGCTGCCACTCGGCATTCCCGGAAGTCTTCGTTTCCAGCGAGCGAGTCCCCCTTACTTTTCTTTGAGGATGTCTGGATTACTGTCGGTTCTTACTTTTATCTACCTTTTTAAATTAGCCCGACAAGATTCACCCATGTTCACACAAACTGCTGGGGTTGGACTGAGATTGTTTTGATTCCCTAAATGAATTTTCAGGAGAATTGGCAACAAGTTACCAAAAATGTTAGAAAATAGCAAAAAGAAAATCAAAATCCATAGCCCCACCCCCCACAGTCAGTGTATCCTAATTGGTATTCTCTCTTTGACTTTTGTTTTACGCGTATGTAGTGTTTTTGTTTTTTTTTTTTTTATATAACACATTTAATTTTTTTTGTTGTTTCTTTATAACCACAAATTTTTAAATTAAACTGCTGGGGGTGGGGAGGTACCTCTTCCATTTTCTGAGCCAAATTCCCAGACCAGGCTTTTCCAGGTGGAAGGTCTGACTTGGCTGTTCCCACAGGGGTCCGGCAGGCAGGATGCCTGTGCCTCCCTGCACAGGGGCAGCTGAGCGAGGCATGTGCCCAGTCACCTTAACTAGTTGTGGCACAAAGCTGGTTTTAGAAGATAGCTGTGCAGAACTGCTTGTTTCTATTGCCAGAAGATTTCACTTTTAAATTTTATTTGGTTTTACATTTGATATTATGTTCACATGGGTCAGAACTCAAAAGAACCAAGAGTTTATAAGGGAAAATTCTCTTCCCATCTGTGTCCAGAGTGCAGCCAGCATTTGGTTTCTTCCGAGTGTTGGCAGAGATGCCGTGCGCATTCGCGGGCCGGTACGCCCATGGGTTTCCTCTGTTACTTACACAAGGGTCACTTGCTGTGTGGTGGGTCCTCACCTTTTCTCACCTAGCGGCTAACCGAGAGAGCTCCGTGCTAGTGTGTTGAGAGTGTCCTCCTCGTTTCCAGCTATGTGGATTCCACTGTGAGGATGGACATTTAAAATGTTCCCTGTTACAAAGTCTTCGTGCGTCATCCATGTGTCATTTTATAGATTGCTTTATAGGGGCGACATTTCCCTGTGCCCTCAGTTTTATCAGACTTGTCAATTTCTGTCATTCTTCGTAAGTGAAACATTACCTATGAGTAAGGTTTGACACTAGATGGTACGTAGTCAGTCGTGTCGTTCTTTCCTTTTTGGCTTCTGGGTTTGTAGTTTGCCTGGTAAAGGCTTCCCCTTCTGAAATCATAAAACATTTCTTCTTTGTTTTCTTCTAGTATTTTGCTTTTAATTTTGTATTTAATCTTTGCTTTATTTCTGGAATCCTTTTCTGGATGGCTGAGTAATCTGTCCTAAGCGAAATGCCCGTCTTTATCGGTCAGCGTATTTCTGTATTTTTCACCTTGTCGCCCTGAGCTGTTTGCTTTGTCGGACAACTTGCCTGAGAACGAAATAATTATAATGTGTTTCAGCATCTGGGGTTTCCTCCCCGTTCTTTTCTTGGCTGTTCTTTTCTGTATAAATTTTAGATTGTTTATATTAAAAATTTTCTTTTATACCTAATCTAATCTATTAATCTAATCTATTAATATAAAGGAATCATCATTTATGGTCTGCTTATCCAAGAACCACTGCACGTCTAACTTTCCTCCTTTGTCTTTGATGGTGTTTTAGCGTATCTTAACCTTAGTACTCAGCACCTCCCTGCATTTTCTAATATTGAACCTTGACTGACTTTCTCGGCGTATAATCAAATTATCTGTAAGCGATCACTTACATCTAATTTTTTTATACTGGCCAGTCCTCTTGCACTATTTAAAATGTCCTGATAAACCCAGCGTCTCAGAAAGGCAGCTGGAACACAACAGCAGAGGCGGGTGGGTGGCGCGCAGTCCTGCGCCAGCTGCTCTGGTGGTTTCTGTGTTGCAGACACACGCTGATCAAGAAGCTCAGTCAGCTCAGGGAGAGCGAGCCCGACCTGGCCCGGCTGCTCATGGATCAGGTGAGAGGAACCAGCTCTGGGCTCACAAGAGCCTGGGAGGGGCCCCCTGAGCCAGACCCGGGCTGTGCTGCAACTGCGCCATTTCACCCCTGCCTTTCAGATATACGAGAACGCCATGATCGCAGCTGGGCTCGTGGACGACCCCAGACCGATGGTAGGCCGCCTGAACGACCTTCTGGTCAAGGCCCTGGAGAGACGCTGACGGCCCAGGGGGTGCTGGTCCTGGGTGGAGCTGTGGCCTCAGCCTGTGGAAGTGTCTTCCAGGCAGGGGGAGGAAGGACTGACACACAAATGAGAATCTTGAACTTTATTTACCTAAATTAAAAGGTATTTCTTAATCTACATGATAGACTTTTTGTCCAGGCTCTGAGAAGGCAGGGTGCCTCGGTGACATAGTCCATGAGGTTGCCGCGTACTGCTCAGGTCAGGCTCTCTTCAATGTCACCTCCACTGGGTAGTGGTCACTGATGGCCAGGGCCTGTGGGGAGGTGGGTGGCAAGGTCAGGACCGAACCCAGGCTCTTGTACCCATGCACCTCACTGCCAGGTCCACCTGGGAAGAGCTGGTGGAAGAAACCTTGCAGTCACAACCTAAACGACCCTGGCCTACGACCCGTTGGGGAAAGGCCCGTGGAAGAGCAGTAGCTGTGCCAGGATAACACAGGCCTCCTTCAGCTCCTGCGTCCCAGCTACGCGTGCCAGGGAAGGACACGTACCAGCTCGTTGCTCAGGCCGTAGGTAGCTTCGAAGTCAAAAGGGGCAGCCGAGCCTGGAACCACGGCGCCTTGGAGCAGAGACCCTGAGACCACAATGCTGTAGTGTGTTGGGATGAGAGAGAAGGTTCCCATTTCACTCGCTGCCCTGGCTCTGGGCTCCCCCGGCTCACATGTTGGTCTGGTGAATGGTCACACCGTCCTCACTGTGCTGCTCCTAAAGCTGAGCCGAGGCACCTCCCGAGCCCGTGCAGGTCTGAGGGAGCCCAAAACTGCACACCCGCAGCCTGTACACCTGAGGCTGTTCAGAAGCAAAAACCAGGTGAGAACCCAGGTTTCTGCCTCTCCTTTCATCCCTAAACGTGCTTTTCCAAAAAAATGAGAAATGTGGCTCTTTTTGTCTCGTTTCTTAAGTGGATCAACTAAAGCTCAAACTTAGCCATTTCTGAAGCTGGACCTACAAGTCAAGGCTGCTCACCGGTCGTAGGCACAGTGCGTGGACGTAACCGTGGTGTCAGCCGAGTCAGGAATCAGCCACTCGAAGGCAGGATTCGTACGCAGGCGGATGGATGGCCACTGGGAGGGGGTCACGTAGCTACAGCCAGCGTTGAAGTCACCCATCAACATGATGTCCTACAGGGAACACCCATCAATTGGCCCAGGGACAAATGTCGGCCCCTAGAGCCCACTGTCCCTAGGAGGGTCTCACCTCCATGTCCCACTTGTGCCTGACATCCAGGTAGACATCGTAGAGGGCGTCAATCTCAGCCACCGCGTCTGCTGGGGCTGCGTGCAGGGGCACGATGGCAAACTCCCTGACCTCTGAGGAGACAGTGGTCACACTAAGTGCAGGTGTACAGGGCCTGCCTCCGGGTGAGCTGGCCCGAGGGTGCGCTGGGGTCCGCACTCCTGCAGGGCCAGGCTCAGTCATGCTGTTGGGGCTGGGACGAGTGACAGTCCCCTAGGGGGTAGGCATTTTCCTAAGGAATGTACGGCCAAAGCACTGGAGCTAGGGGGCAGCATGCGACATGCTCTCCAGGTGTCCCCCTTGCTGAGGCGTGGCGCGGCAGCACTCACCCGTGAACGGGGAGGAGAACTTGACGATGGCGGGCTCTCGGCTGAAGGTGTCATTCCCACAGGGCTCACAGCCGTCGTCGTAATAGTAGCTGTCCAGCACGGACACCTGGTCAGGCCTGCGGGAAGGCGGGGTGGAGGAGAGGTGACCTTGGGCTGGGGAGCTGCGCCCTCCGGCTCGGCACCTGTGGGCCAGCCCCTCCACTCCCTGGGCCGCAGGAGGGGCCGAGTCTGAGCTCCAGCCACATCCTGCCCGCCCCTGCGAAGGCCGTGAAAGGCACCCCGGAGGGCAGGCCCAGGAGCGAGCCACCCGCTCACCCGCCGGGTCTGAGGCCGCAGGGGGCTGGACTCCAACTGCACCCTGCTCTGTGGCCTTGGACGCTTGTCCCATAGGGCAAATTGCTTCTCCAACTCTGCTGGGGTCCTCCCAGGTGAGCCGACTTCCCGGGCTCTAGACCACCCCTCAGCCCTTTGTCGGTGCCGACGAGGCACAGACACGGTCTGCCCGCCACATCTCGTCCATGCCTCACGGACCAGCCGGGCCCGGGGCTCTACCTGTACACGAAGAGGTAGCGCTCCTTGTAGCTGTTGCGTCCCAGTGGCTCACTGACGACATAGTGGTAGGTGTCTGGTGCATCCCTGGGTTGAGGAAACAGAAGGTCCCACTCAGGGCACCACAGAGGGACCCTCTGGCTGCCAGCAGGGCTCTGCCCCTGGGGCCCCGATGAAGTGAGGCTGTGCCTGGATGGGGTCGTCACCTCCCCCAGGACCCCATGCTGTCACCCACTGATTGAGTTTGTCCAGCAGCTTCCCCACGGCCGTCAGGTGGCTGTCTCTGACCTCCTGGACCAGGGCGATGTCGTAGCGACTCAGAATCTGGGGGATGGGGCCACAGCGGTGCTGAGCTGGCCGCCTGGTATGTCCAGCCCTCCCTGCCCCCAGGACACCCACAACAGGAGCAGCAGCTGCTGTTCCCAGAGTGGTTCCCAGCCCGGTTTGGCCCGCAGCCTTGTGCCTTTGCCTGGGCTCCCACTGCCAGTCGTGGACAGCACAGCTGTGACAGGGCCCTGGGCTGGCAGCCAGGGCCCATTCCACCCCTAAGTGACAAGGCTGAGACTGCAGGTGCTTGATGTCCCACACTCGGCAGTCTGTGGCCCCACCAGGCTGACCCCCTCCCGTGCCCAGGGCCCATTACCCCTAACCTGGGTTCCTCTGCCCTCAGGGACTCACCTGCACAATGTAGTTGGACAGGGTGGCATTGGACATCTTGGTCTCCCCAAAAGTCTGGATGTTGAAGGCTGTAATTCTCAGCGACGGGGCCACCTGCAGCAGGCCGGCTAGGGCCAGCAGCTCTCCCAGCAGCCTCACTCCCCTCATCCTGGGAGAACGAAGGTCACAGGGGTGTGGGGGAAGTGAGATGTCACCCCTTGCCACCAGAATCCCTGCCTCCTGGGAGCCCAGTGTGGCAGGAGCTGCTGGAGCCCAAGGTCCCGGAGGTCCTGTCTTCATGGGCTGTGCCGCAACGCAGGCTGGGGAGACCCTCGCCACCTGTTCGCAGTGTCCAGAGAGCCAGACACCTGTGCCCATAGAGGACGCTGGGTCTCCTCCTTCACTCACCAGAAAATTAGCCCCTGTGAGGGACCCCAGAGCCCACTGGGACCCAGGCTCGCTGGAGGAGACCCTTCACTCTGCGGGGGGGGACGCAGCTCTGAGCCTCCCTCCCAGGACTCGACTCCGGGCTTAGTGCTCACCTGAGGTGACGATGATGTCCACAGAGATGACAGCAATTCTGCCAAGAATCTAGAGTTTCTTTTATATCAATTTTCTCCTTCTGTAAGGAAAAAATAGTCTACAAAGGGAAGCCTCTGAGGAAGCACGGCAGTGAGGTCCTGGCAGTGCTGCTGGGCTCGGGGTTCTGCAGGGCAGCGTGTGCTCCCCCAGGCTTTAAAGGTTGGCAGCCTGACCTTCCCTGGGACACGTGCACACCTGAGGGTGTCTGGGTGGTTTCCATGCAGACAGGTTCCTTGCTGCTGTAAAAACAGGAAAACAGCACCTGATAATCACGTTTGCACTTTTTTTTTTTTGGTTTTTTTTTTTTTTTTTTTTGAGACAGGAGTCTCACTCTGTCACCTTGTCTAGAGTGCAGTGTCGTGATCATAGCTCGCTGCAACTTCAAACTCCTGGGGGCTCAAGTGATCCTCCTGCCTCAGCCTCCTGAATAGCTGGGACTACAGGCACGTGCCACCACACCTGGCTAATTTTTTCTATTTTTAGTAGAGACCTGGTCTTGCTCTTGCTCTCAGGCTGGTCTCGACCTCCTGACCTCTCAAGCAATCCTCCTGACTCGGCCTCCCAGAGTGCTAGCATTACAGGTGTGAGCCATCACGCCCAGCCTGCACTTGGTTTTAAAACATCTAATGAAAGGGCCAAAGGTTCCTTTGTCCTTCACACACGCAGCCCCTGGCCCCCCACCAACCCCAGGCTCTCCACGAGGGTTGGGTATAGTGGCTGTTTGCAGGAGGGTGGGGCCAGGCTGCCCGTCCCTGGTCTGAGGGCCCCGAGGTCACCATGGAGCCAGAGGCCAAAGCCCCATAAAGAGTTGTATGTTGCAAACAGAACCCTGCGGTGGCCCAGGACGCTCTTACCAACCCTAACTCCTGCCTTCCTGGTGCAGCAGCCATGAGGTGCAGGCAACTCGGCAAGACACCAAGGGCCCTGGACAGGGAGCGTGGCCCTCCAGCGTTAGGGCTGCCTGGCCTGGGGGTCCACTGGCCACAGGGCCAGGAAGGGTGAGACTGCAAGGCCCACTCCAAGTTGCTGGCCAGGCAGTGGGGAGTCTTTTTGAGGTGTTCAGGCCCGGGGGGGACCCCAAGTGACCAGGTCCCAAGGGTGGGGCAGCAGTTAGGAGCCAGGCCAGGCCTTGGGTCCAGTCATTTCTTGGAATCCTTCACTTTCCCATTTATATTCATTTCCTGAGGCTGCCTGCTCCACCCACCACCAATTTCGTGGCTCAGAGCATCAGGAATTCGTCCTCTCAGTTCTGGAGGCCCAAAGCCTGAGATCGCGGGGTTAGCAGGGCCACACTCACTTCAGAGGCTCCAGGGAGGATCCTTCCCCGTCTTCCAGTTTCTGATGGTTGCCGGCAATCCTTGGTTTGTGCATCACTTTAATCTCCTCTGTGGGCACATGGCCTCCTCCACTGTCACCTGTCCTCTACTCCCTTATACAGGCCTACATTTAAGGTCCTCCCAGATAGTGGGGACAGTGTCCCCATCTCACCATCCTCAATCACATCTGCCAAGTCCTTTTTTGCTACATAAATTAACATGCAGAGATCATAGGGATGAGGTCAGATGTCTTCTGGGGTGCCAGTTCAGCCCGCCACCCCATCCCAGGGGCTCTGCCCATTTGGAAGGGGCTATGCTGGCTCTACAAGGACAGCACTGCCGCGTGGGAGGGCCTGGCATCCCCTGAAGGCCTGGCAGAACTGAGGCAGGACCCAATCGTAAGAGCCAGAGTGGGTGGGGGTTTGTGGGAGGCTGGAGGACGGAGCAGGTGGCCTCACCGGCAGGAGTCAACAGAAGCCAAGGTCAAAGTCAGGAAGGTGCCACTGAACTGGCCAGCATGAAGCAGAAGGCGGACCTAGTGGGGATTAAAAACAGTCAGAAGGTAAACCAAGACAGGAGTCCCCCTTTTGGTAATAAAAACACGCTGACAGACGGCTCTGGTTGGCGTCACTAAGGTAGATGAACTCATTTGTCCCTGGATACAGTGTCTATGAGACGGGACCTCACGACCTGCTCCTCAAGCTGCCAGAAGCCCCATCTTGGACTTTTTCAAAGTGCTGACTGCCGATTCTTCCTGTTCTCAATCTTTGAGGTTGGGACAGCCTCAAGCATGTCAAAATCCGGTGACCAAACACCAAGCAAGGCCATTGCAGTCTTCGGTGTATATGGCCTGGTCCTTTGACTTCGGTGTTTTTCTTTCCTCTATACGTGTCTGACAAAGACCCTCATGGGGAAAGAGAGTGAGCCTAGAGGGCAGCCACCGTCCTCTAATAAGAGGCCACCTGGTCCAGCTTCCAGCCAGACTCAGGGGACACCAGTTATTGCTCATAGCGTGGGTGTCTGACCCTGGTTCCCAGCACAAAGGTGCCCATCTGCTGTGTAGGCCCCTCCTAGTTCAACCAAACGCTGCCCTGTCTGTTCTCGGGAGCTCCCAGGCACGGTGCCCGCCTCCTTCCTGTACGCACCAGAAGGAGGGTCGGGACTCAGGTCTCACTTGTATGCACTTGTGCACCTGCAGCCCAGCATGTGGCAGCCCCCTGGCTATAGTGAGCAGCACAGCCCGGGAAGGGCCTGGCCTGGGTGTCAGAGACGCGGGCCCTGGCCAGGCACACCCCTGTCCTTTCAACCACTTGGGACCTCCGTGTCTTCATCTATCAGATGGGTTAAGACCTTGACTGCCTTCCCCTGAGGGTTAAGAATCAACTGACATAACATTAGTCCACGGAAGAATGATTTCGTCTCCTAAAACGTCATCCTGTCCCGGGGAACAGCAACCCTTTCAGATGTTGAGTTTCCATCACTCTTCCTCCACTCCCGGATAGACATCTTTCCCATCTGTATCAGTCAGCTGTTGCTGTGTAACAAGCCACCTCAAAATGAGGCGCAGACAACAATATGCATTTCTCATGCTCACAGGTCATCTGGGAGGCTCTGCTCCTTGGGCCCTAGTCTAGGGCTGGGCTGGAGGGACCGCAGCCTCCCCCTCCACTCTGCCTGCTCTTCCAACAGGGTGGAGAGCTCCCAGGGAAGTGGGCAGAACACGGTGGGTGCCCTGAGGTTGAGGCTTGGAGTTGGCCTGCCGTCTCTCTGCCCACGTTGTTGGCCTTGGCAAGCCACAGGCCAAGCCCGGCTTCATTGGGAGGTGTAGGGGGTGCTCCTTTCATGCTGGGCCCCACTTGGGAAACACAGGAATGGGCGCCAGGGAATCCTGGAGAGAAATCCCAGTACTTCTGGCATTTTCCAAAGTCACATCAATAGAGAAAGGGGAGCTGCAGCCAATGGCAACAACCAGAAAAGCCAGCCAGTTTCTGAGATCAGGGCATGCTATTTGTACATTAACCTTGAGGAGCTTCTCTGGTTAAATTAAACCTGTCACAGACACGGGAAGGGAAAACAGCATGTAACAGTTGACAGAAGTCTGAGCCAGGTCATGTGTTCTGATGCGGCTAAAATCAAAGGACAAAGAAAAATCCTACAAGCACCACGGCTGGGGACAAATGGCCTCACAGGAACACCTGCAGCAGCGCCAGCCACACAGGGCTTGCTCTAGAGTATGGGGGAGGAGGTGGTGACCAACTCCACATCCATGCCTGGGGCCAGGGAGGGAAACTCCCACCCATCAAGAGGGAAAAGGGGAAGGGCACAGAGGCGCCTGTGAACTAGCCAGGACCTTTCTGAGGGGAACAGTAACAACCGACATCTCTGCACTATTCGCCAATTCCAGCGCCACCTCTTTTTTTTTTTTTTTTGGAGACAGAGTCTCACTCTGTTGACCTGAATAGAGTGCCGTGGCGTCAGCCTAGCTCACAGCAACCTCAGACTCCTGGGCTCAAGCAATCCTCCTGCCTCAGCCTCCCAAGTAGCTGGGACTACAGGTGCCACCACAATGCCCGGCTACTTTTTCTATTTTTAGTAGAGATGGGGTCTCGTTCTTGCTCAGGCTGGTCCTGAACTCCTGAGCTCAAGTGATCCTCCCACCTCGGCCTCCCAGAGTGCTGGGATTACAGGTGTGAGCGCCCGGCCCATTACATCTTGCTTTGTTCCTTTCCAAGATGTCCCCTGGCTGCAGAGCTGGGCCGTAGCAGCTACTGGAAGAACAATTACCGGGTGGGAAGCAGTGTGGAGCGAGGCAATGAGGGTGGCAGTGTTGAATCAGGTTCCAGGGTTTAACAAGTAGCCAACAAGTGCACACATCCCGTGAGGAAGTAACTGTGGCTACTTAAACATGAAATAAGTTTTTTTTTTTTCTTTAAATTTATGTGTATAATTATTCCAAATGTCCAACTATGAGTTTCCAGGACATAAGTACTTATTATTTTGGTTTACCTATTTAACAGATGGAACCGTCAGGTATTTCTTTTGACCTAGGGGCCCTTTAAAATAATTATGGAACCTTAACGAAGAGTGCTCTGCACTGAGAAAGCCTGAGAAACTCTGGGTCTAACATAATGGGTGTACCTGGGTTACTAGATTATATATCCCACTGTACTGAATATAATTTCTTTTCTAGCCTCATCATTTACAATGGTTGAACATCCTATCACAAAGAAATTCTCAATTCTATAAATCACTACTGAGAAGAATTAATTGCAATGGATTAAACATATCATTTGTAGCCAGGCACGGTGGCTCATGCCTATAATCTCAGCACTTTGGGAGGCTAAGGCAGGAGGATTGCTTAAAGCCAGGAGTTCGAGACCTGCCTGGGCAACATAGTGAGACTTCATCTCTACAAAAAATAAAAATTAGCCGGGTGTGGTAGTGCATGTCTGCAGTCCCAGCTACTTAGGAAGAAGCTACAGCAGCAGGATCACCTGAGCCCAGGAGTTGGAGGCTGCAGGGAGCTGTGATCACACCACTGCACTCCAGCCTGGGCGACAGTGAGACTCTGTCTCAAAAACCAGCCACCCAACCCACCCTCCCATATCACTTGTGTTTAAATATATGAGTTCATACTGGTGTAAAAAAATTACCAGCCACTTTTGGGGGATGCTAGGGAGTCAACTCATTATTCTGCAAACAGGCAAACAAAGGCAAAGAATCCAGAACTTATCCTGCCTTTCCTATGCAAATAGTACTGCTGAGTAACCCACAGTTAGAGAAGGTTCTCTTCTGATGGGCTTATTCCAGCTAGTAAACGAGGAAGGAATGCTGGATTTTGAAACTCACCGCTCTGCAGTCTGTCAGTGCTGCTGACACAACAGACAACCGGCCCTCTGTGCCTCCTGACCCAAGAACACAGCAGCACTTTGGAAGAACTCTTGCCAAAACGATCTTCAATATGATTGAACCTCTAGATCTAAATACCAGCTTAAAGCAAATACAGGGGACAGAAGCTCATGTTCAACAGCACCGTGGGGACAGAGCATGACGCAGACTGCAGGAAACTGTACAGCCGTACAGGACAAAGGACAGTCTCATGAGTACATTTCCAGAGGACTCAGCGGCCTGCACAGGCTCAGGAAACACGCCTGCAGCTGTCCTCTGGGGCAGGGGATTTGTCCGACCTCAGCTGCAGCCAGGACCCTGCCTCTCGGGTCGGACGGCACTGTGAACGTGCCATGGCCGTAATGAACCCTGATTACATCCCTGGCCCTGCCCACTCCTTGCTCTGGCCCTATGACCATCCAGATGCTCAGACAAACACCCGAGATCAGTGCCTGTCCCTGAGCTTCCCTCTGTCCCACGGCCCCGCCCCCACTCGCATCCAGAGCCTGCACACAGGCCCTGTTGCCACCGCTGTCCCTATGGCCTTCCTGCTTCCAGAAACCCGTTCCCACAATCCACACAGCTCGAAGAACATCTCGTGTGTGATTTGATCATGTTATTCCCCTGCTTAAAACCTGTCACCAGTTTTTCATTGTCCTTAACATGAAATCCAATACTATGACCCATCCGGTTCTAGCTCAGCATCTTCTGCTCCGCTTGGAGAGCTGGAGCTGCCTTGTCATTGCAGTTGCAGCTTAAGCCCACCCAGTCCCCACCGCCGACATGGCCCGTTGCACTTTCTCACAGCTCATGTCGCTTATTTCTCTAAGCGTTTACTTCCCTATCTGCTTATCCTCATTTATGGCCAGCTTCTTGACCAGAACACGAGCTCCAGGAAGCAGTGGCCATGTCTTTCTTGTCCGTGAAAATATGCCAAGTGCCTACGACGATGCCTGGAACATGGAAGGTGCTTCACAGACAGCTGCCGGACACAGCCAAGCTACAAGCTCACCTCCTACTCCACACCTTCAGGCAAAGCGAGAAAACATCCCTTTTTCCATGGACCTTCCAGAGAAACCCTGTTCTCAGACAGAACCTGGCACACTGGACACTGTGGGACGTCTAAGTGACACTTGGACACTTGGCTTGAGCTGACCAGAAGCTCCAGGGTTTAGTGGCTGTTGGGGTCCCACAAAGCCCACCTCCCCTTCTCTTGGGATTCCTTCTCTCCCCTCGGGAGCTGTCTGTACTGGCCCCGCCAACAGAGCATCTTAGAGGACAAAGGTCCTCTTTACTTCAGGCAAAGGGCCAGTGTCTGCCGTGACATTACTTTAATCCCCATGCTCAATGACCCGAG